TTTCCTTGATGAAAAATTTACGATGATTTACATGGTTGTGAGCGCACAAGGTAATTGTGAAGCAACAACCATTCGCCTATTTAAGTTTGGTACAAAAACGGATGATCGCACCGGCAAGCTTTGTGCGTTCCAGCCTGGTTAGCTTAATAGAAGGATTAGTAGCTTGCCAAATACCGATCAAAAGTCTTGTTAACAAGGCTCTGAAATGAATTTTCTTTTATGTTTTTGTGCTAAAAATCATGTTTTAGCATTTCAATGTTGTTTAGCATTTCTAAGCTGAATTAGAAATTTTTGGATGGACTTCATGCACCTCTAGTGTAATTTTGCATCCGGTAGTTAAATTTGAAAAACATGCTTTTGAATTCTCGATGAAGTTTAGGCCCATTTGGCTTTCATTTTGTGCTCCAAAATTTTCTCACATTTTCTTGTCACGCGAACAATTTTGGCATGCCACGTGAAGCTCGTATTTTCCTCTCCCTTTTTCAATTCCGATACGCCACTGAAAATAACTATCATTACCAAAATTGCCAAAAAGACCGGATCTAACAGTGCACAGTTTCTGCAAAATATATAAGCACTCACTACCAGATGCAGCTGTGCCAAGGCTTTACTAAGTTGCGTGCTTGCAGTCCGCACATGTTGTTTTACTCCGTAACGGTGCACTTAGCAAAGATCAGTTCCTGCTTAAAAACAAGTAATCTAATTCAGTTTTCCATTGAGCAAAATCTTACCAACTTCGTCGGCTGATACTGAAAAGGGTTAGCAAGTTCATTCTCCCACTAAGAATAGAGCTGTAGATAAATTCCGATGATTGATTTTCAATCCGGCACCATTTCGAACAGGGTCTGCTGCATTTTTTCATTGCGAGTTGCTCGTTCGTTGTTCTATAGGCGGGAAGGATGTGCAGGTTACTAGGCTTGCTTCTTACACCTTTCATTTCACGCTTTGAACATCACGCTTAACAAGTTTGTTTTTAACTTCTACGCTTATTCTCCTTCTTTTTGCGCACACTTGTACAGAGTTCAGCTGTCCAGGGGTCAGTGGTCCATCACGTCCAAAGTGCGGTCCAGCTTTTTTCAGCATGGCTAGAGCTGTCAGAGTTTACATCTCGGCATTCTGTAGCTTGGTGAAATGTTCTGACTAAAGTTTATAAGAGAAATATCATTTCTAAAGTAACCTTAAACATAAACAACAAAGTAAATGAGGTGATGCTAAATGTGATGCTTTAGTGCACTGTCCGAAAGGAACTGTTCATATCAACAATACGTGTGAGTTCTGCCCTGCTGGAAGCTATCAGGATGAAATAGCTCAAGTATCCTGTAAGCCCTGTCCAGATCAGACCTTCACACAATTTCCAGGAGCTCAGAAGTTTAACGCCTGCCTTCGTAAGTTATAATTTTTATGCGTTTTTGTTGTACAGGTATAGCGTTACTACAATGAGCCAAAATGCATGAGATTGTCGGTGTGTGCGGGTGCGTGTACGGTGTGTGTCTGTGTATATGTTTGCACATGTCTGTGTTTATGCGAGTGAGAGAACTTTGTTATCCACTTTCAATTCGGCACAAGCAAGGGGCTGAAACTTTGGGGCATGTCCCCGCTGTGTGTGCAACCATCTGGTTTTGAAATTAGTATTCACGTACGCTTGTTTTTCACTCACGGATGTCGTTACCTGGATTTGGTTCAGGAAAATTTTCACAGGCAATTTGTGGAAGCAATTTGTTCCACCTTTTTTTTAGCTGTATGTGGAAACGGTATGTACAGTGATACCGGATTAATACCGTGCCAGCTGTGTCCACGGCATACTTTTGCTGGACCACCCATTTTTGGAGGCTACAAACAGTGTGAACCATGTCCTCAGGTAAGCCCGTGCAGTTGAAAATTTAGAAACAAATTTTCCTTTGAAATTGTTGAACGACAAGTTGAGAAAAATGAGGGGCTATCTTTGAATCGGTTCAATTTTTTTTTTTTT